AATGCTACAGTGCCATGAGGCTGTGTTGTACTTCTCTGCGCTGTGCCGCGCCGCGCAATGACGTACCAGGGGTCGCGCCACGGAACGTGCCAGTGGACGTGCCAGGGGACGCGCCGCGCGATGTGCAAGAAGGATGCACCACTGGACGCGCCACGGAACGTGCCAGGGGACAAGCCACGGAACGTGCCACTGGACGTGCCAGGGGACGTGCCAGGCGATGTGCCAAGGGACGCGCCGCGCGACGTGCCCAGGGGAGGCGCCAGGGAAAGTGCCAGGGAACGTGCCCGAGGGTCACGATTCCTTGTAAATTGCACTGGGCGATGGGCGATGGGTAGTGGCAATGCTGAAGGCATCGATGGTGATGTACCGTGCCAGAGGGTTTGCTGTGTTGTGACGTGCTGACATGAAAGGCGTCATGCCGCCATTTTGAATCCGAATCCTGACCGAACTGATCTGGATCTTAAGCTCGAGCTGCCTGAGCGAACACCTGACCCAGGGCCGGTTGCAATCGACACGTGTTGGACGCTCAATCAGCTTAAGCTCAAGATCCGATTCAGTTACGAAGAGGGACGGGACGACACGGGGCGCAGGGCGCATGGACACGCCACGGGGGGTGCCAGGGGCGCACTCGGGGATGCGCCAGGGGACGTGTCAGGGGACGTGGCAAGAGAAGCGCCACGGAACGGGCAAGGAAATCGCCAGGGGACACTGTTCACGCTTGTTCCGCTCTGGGGCGTTAAGAACCATGTGTTTTTCACGCTTGTCCCGCACTGGGGCATTAGGACCTCACGTGTATTCACGCTTGTCCCGCACTGGGGCATTAGGACCTCACGTGTATTCACGCTTGTCCCGATCAGGGGCGTCAGGAACCCACGTGGTTTCACGCTTGTCCTGCGGGCGCTAGGAACCCACGTGTTGTCACGCTCGTCCTGCCCTGGGGCGCTAGAACCCTCGTGTGTTTACGCTTGTCCCGCCCTGGGGCGTTCGGAACCCTTGTGTTTTCACCCCTTGTCCCGCTCTGGGGCGTCAGGAACCCACATGTTTTCACGTTCGCCCCGCTCTGGGGCGTTCAGCCCCCGCGTGTTTTCACGATTACCCCGCTCGGGGGCGGTCGGAACCCATTTGTTGTCACGCAGGTCCCGCTCCGAGGCGGTCGTTAGGGCATTCTACTGGAGCGCGCGTACAGCACAAAGGATTCGAGCCCCAGGAGAGGCGCAACCTATTAGACAACGTAAGCGCTTCTCTAGAGACATCCTCCACACATTCAGCAAAACAAGCGTTTCGCTCGAGGCATCCGCAAAACAACGAACATGTTCACTTCATCAGGTGTTTTTCCTATCAAAATTTAGAAAACCAGCGATTCGCAAGGGAGAGCATCAAATGCTAATCCGCGGGCCCTGTTCGACCTGGTGATTTCTCAAAGAGAAACTCTACCAACCCCCTTCGAACTTGGCACCCGGGAAAGTCGACCTACTGAAAGAAAATCCTTGGCCTGAGCCCTTTCCAAAAAATGTGCCCCCCACTCTCTTGAAGAAACGCACGTGAATTTTTAGATATTTTTAGCATAGCCTTCCTGTGCGTCCGAGACGGCCAGTGAGGCACAGCAAATCACCCTAAGACGGCCTAGGCGGCCTATGAAGCTCTCGAGAGGGCCCCGAGGTGCCCCAAGAGGCCCCTAAGATGCCCCAGGGAGCGCCAAGAGGCCCCTTGAGGAGCCCCCCGGAAGCCCCCCCGAGATGTCTTCACAAGGTTTCCAAAAAGGCCCCGAGAGGCCCTGAGGGACTCCCAAGCGGTTCCACAGGCCCGAAGAAGCCCCGAGAGGTCCCAGGAGGCTTCAAAAATGCATCCTCGCGCCTCCGAAAGTTGTTGTTGTTGCTGCTGTTTGATCGTGTTGTTGCTGTTGTTGTGGTAATTGTTGTTGGTGTTGTTGTTGGTGTTGTTGTCGTTGTGGTTGTGGTGGTTTTGGTTGTTGGTGTTGTTGTTGTGGTTGCTGTTGCTGTGTTTTGTTGTTGTGGTTGTGGTTGTGGTTGTGGTTGTAGTAGTTGTTGTTGTTGTTGGTGTTGTTGTTGTTGTTGATGTTGTTGTTGGACTGTCAGTACTAACGACTAAATGTTGTTGATCCCCCCTCCGGTGGCCATTGTGTTTTTTTCAATTGAAGTGCTCCCCCCGGGGCTCGTACCACGTTTGTTTTTTCTATTTAAAAATATCCCAGTGCGACCCTTCCTAGGAGTTGGAACCCCTAGGAAAGCAGCATTAGTAGTAAGAGTAACGCTAAGCTAAAGCTAAGCTAAAGCTAAGCCGCAGCTAAGCTAAAGCTAAGCTAAAGCTAAGCTAAAGCTAAGCTAAAGCTAAGCTAAAGCTAAGCTAAAGCTGAACAACAGCTAAGCTAAAGCTAAGCTACAGCTAAGCTAAAGCTAAGCTCAAGCTAAGCTAAAGCTAAGCTAAAGCTATGCTCAAGCTAAGCTCAAGCTAAGCTAAAGCTAAGCTACAGCTAAGCTAAAGCTAAGCTACAGCTAAGCTGAAGCTAAGCTAAAGCTAAAGCTAAAGCTAAAGCTGAAGCGTTAGCTAAAGCTAAAGCTAAAGCTAAAGCTCCCAAGAGACTGGGGGAACCGCTCCCAGGGGACTGGGGGAACCGCCCGGGGCGTGTTCCACTGCCCGGCCCCTTTAAGCTAAGAGAGTAAGAACCCTTCTAGGCAGAGCCTAGGTAGGGAAAAACAAACACACACATACACACACATATATATATATATATATATATATATATAAAAATAATATCACGGGGCTCAAACTGTGCCCCTGGTCCCCGGTTTACAACAACAGCGGCTCCCGCCTGACACGTTCACATACAATTTAGCCAGGACCCGCGCTCCCGCCTGAGATTTCCTCGCATTTTACAGAAGAATCGCGCTCTCGCTGGGGACTTCCTAACAATCTATGCGGGAATCACTCTTTCGGCGCTCTTGAGTCGCACTCTCGCTGGAGACTTGCTTGTAATTTACTAAGAAATCGCGCCCTTGCGTTTGAGTTCCCTGCAATTTTCTCCAGCGCTGCGCTCCCGACACTCAGGCACCCAGGAGTCGCGCTCACGCGTGGGACTCCCTTGCAGCCCTTCGTGGCCCCGTTGATGCCCTTCGTGGCCCCCTCGCTGCCCTTCGTGAACCCGTTGAAGCCCTTCGTGGCCCCTTCGCTGCCCGTCGTGGCCCCGTTGCAGCCCTTCGTGGCCCCCTCGCTGCCCTTCCCGTTGCAACCATTCGTGGCCCCCCCGCTGCCCCTCGTGGCCCCGTTGCAGCCCTTCGTGGCCCCCTCGCTGCCCTTCGTGGCCCCGTTGCAGCCCTTCGTGGCCCCGTTGGGCCCCGTTGTCGTCCTTCGTGGCCCCCTCGCTCCCCTTCGTGGCCCCGTTGCAACCCTTCGCGGCCCCCATTGCTGCCAGTCGTGGCCCCGTTGCAGCCCTTCGTGGCCCCGTTGCAGCCCTTCGTGGCCCCATTGCAGCCCTTCGTGACCCCCTCGCTGTCCTTCGTTGTATGCCCTTCGTGGCCCCCGCTCGTTCGCGCCCGTCGTGGCCTTTTATCAATGCGCTTCGTGGCCCCGCTGTCGCCCTTCGTGGCCCTCTCGCTGCCCTTCTTGGCCCCGTTGCTGCCCTCAGTGGCCCCGTCCTTGCCCTCTGCGGCCCAATATACGCGTGCCCTTCGTGGCCCCCGCTCGTTCGCGCCCCTCGTTGTCCCATATGCGTGCCCTTCGTGGCCCCGCTGTCGCCCTTTGTTGCCCCCTCGCTGCCCTGCGTGGCCCCGTTGCTACCCTCAGTGGCACCGTGGTTGCCCTGTGTGGCACCGCATTATCCGCCCTTCGTGGCTCGCGCCCTTCGTGGCTCCATACGCATGCCCTTCGTGGCTCCGCTGTCGCCCTTCGTGGCCCCCTTCCTGTTCTTGGTGGCCCCGCTGTCGCTATCGCTCTCGCTCTCGCTTTCGCTCGTCGTCGTCGTCGTCGTCGTCGTCGTCGTCGTCGTGGTTGGTCAACTGTCTGTCTTTCTTGGGGTCGGGTTGCCACCTGTCCGCGCTGCCGTTGGCCAGGCCGACGGTCCGCGGCCGCCCCGCCGCTTGCCGAGGCCTGGCCGGCAGGGGAGACAGATATACCCCTGAAAGGGGTGCGATCGAAGACGAAGAGGGCGGGTATCGAGGATTTGGGAAATACATGTCGAATGACGCTCGAACAGTTAAGAGCGAACAGTCTTAACATGATTGTTGTTGTTGCTGCTGATGTTGTCGTCACATTTGACCATTGACCTCACCATGTAACATCTCGCTCTATGTCTTCGCCTGCTCCTCCTTAGCCGGCGTCCTGGCTCGGAGGGTTTCGTCGCCTGTGAGTGGAGCGGCTAACGCGGTCAGTTGCCGCGGACGCACCGCAACTGCATGGGACCTCGCTTCGCCTCTGGATAACGGGGTCTCATGCTCGGCGCCGGCGCCCCCGCCAGACCTCTTTGGATACCCCGAAGGGCCTCCCAAATAAACATCTTGACGACGACCTGATTTGGCCCCAAGAGCGCCGTAAGATGCCATCGCGAAGCTTCCTCCTTCGCCTCCTCCTCCTCCTCCTCCTCTTCCAACTCCTCTTCAGCCTCCCCTCCCTCTTCCTCTCATCCTCTCCTCCTCTCCCCCTCCCCTTCCCCATCCCCCTCCTTCTTCTCCTCGGCGGCGCTGCACTGGCCCCGAGCCCGCGGCGAACCCCCAGCGATCATGCAAGATGGGCCGGCGGAATGAACGAAACAATTCAGAATCATTGAAGGTTCTTTTCATGCTGGTGCTCCCCCTCCTCCTCCAATTCGTCCAATTCCTCGCGCTCTTCTTGCTCCTGCCGTTCGTCCTCATGCTCCCATCCCTCATTTGCCCCCCTTTCTTCTTTCTCCTCCTCCTCCTTTCTGAAACCAGCGCCATCCTAACTCCGAGCTCCCTTGGAGACCCTGCGCCCCGCATCCTGATCTGGGTGACGCCCGTAGTCGACGACTACGCTGTCGGCCACCAGCTCATGTCCACCTCCCTTGGCCCCCCGCTCAGCACTTGGCGCGCGGCGCGCCCGTCCGCCTCCCTGGATGGAGGCGCCTCTCTTCCTCCTCTCCCTGCTCCTCCTCGTGTGTTTCCTCGTGCTCGTCCTCCTCGTCCTTCTCACCTCGTGCTCGTCCTCCTCGTGCGCTTCCTCCTCTTCCTCCTCCTCCTCCTCCTCCTCCGCATCTGTGCTGTCCCGAGGCACCGGGCCAACGAACCCGCTGTGAGTCAAGCACCCTCCTTGACGTTCTCGGCTCGCCCCCAAATTTTCCTGGGACTCCTCCTCGCCTCCTTCCTCCTTCTCGCCCCCTCCCTCCTCCTCCTCCTCCTCCTCCTCCTCCTCCTCCTCCTCCTCCTCCTCCTCCTCCTCTTGCTCGTCCTCCTCTTGCTACTTCTCCTCCTGGAAAAGGGGCACCTCGGCCCCCGAACCTCCTGGCTGACCTCGGAAGGACTTGCCCCGCGTCCCGCCTCCCGCTCGCATTTTCGGCTCCCGCACGGGAGGCGCCATACTGTGCATGTATGTATTTATATATGTATGTATGCATGCATGTATGTATGCATGTATGTATGTATGCATGCATTAATGCATGTACGTATGTGTGTGTGTCTAGGTGTATCTATGACACATACATACATGTATGCATGCATGCGTGCATACATACGTACACACAAACATGCACATATCTACCTACCTACCTACCGACCTACCTACCGACCTACCTACCGACCGACCGACCGACCTACCGACCTACCTACACACAGCCATGCATGCATACATACATACATACATACATACGTACGTACGTACGTACATACGTACGTACATACATACATACACACACATACATACATATTTACATGCATGCGTGCATGCATGCATGCATACAAACATGCACACGGGCAGATGCATACAAACGTGAACCCACACATACACACATCCAGGCAAATATTCATGCATGCATACATTCACACATGCATACATACATACACACATACGCACAAACATGCACACACATACACAATACACATGCGTGTATACACATATACCTAAATCCATCCATTCATACATACATACATACACACATACAGACGTACACACGTACATACACACATACAGAAATGCATACACACACAAACATACAAGCATACATCGGTACATGTATGTATATATCGATGGGGTGGCAACACCCATGACCTGGGCCTCTTGCAGATTGTGTGTTTCGATCCCGCCGTTCGCTCTCGATGTAGGCCTCGGTGGGCCGCTCTGGGCCCCGAGGCTTTCGACAACTAGCCAAGGCGAAGAGTTCGCCCTGGGTAGTGCTCCAGGCAGGAGCTCTGGGTGTCACGAAAAAAATTCACGTGGTCGGAATTCTGGGTCCGCAGGGGGGACGCCTATGATGGTGAGAGGACAACGATGGGATGACGTGGTATATCAAGGACGGAGAAAGAGCATGACGCCTCGATAAGGATGGCGCGGAAGATCTGGGCGAAGTGGGTACTGCTGAGGGGAGGGAGGCTCTGGGAGAAGGGGATGGTGCTGAGAGGGTGGGTGAAGGCACGCGACAAGAAACGCAACGTCCTACGCACGCCGTGCCGTCCCGTGTTCGCCTCGTCTTGACTGGAGAAAGAATAGGGGCGGGTCTATCGCTTCTTGTCCCCCCGGTTCTGCTAGAATCCTCGCTGGTGGACCAACTGGTGGGGTAGCATTGACAAGCCTCTCCCAGCACTCTCCATGGACCCCCGCGGCTCGCGGTCTTGCGAATCACCTGGCGCCGCGCAACGCCTGGATCAGACGAGGCGAGCGTTCCCCCTGGGAGTCCTCCATGCAAGTTCTCTGCTGACCAGGTGGCCTGCGCTCCCTAGCGGGAGCTGCTCGATTACAGGAAGGGGAGGCGAGTGAGAGAGGGGGGAGAGCGAGACAGAGAGAGAGAGAGATGTGTGTGGAATGCCCTCACCCATATGTAGATGATTATGCACACATGCATACATACATGCATGCATACTTACATACGTACATGCATACACACATACACACAGGCATAGGCACATACACACATACGCCTAGACACACACACACACATACACATACATACATCCATACATACAGGCAGGCAGCCAGACAGACAGACGTACATGCGTACACTCATGCGCGTGCGTGTATATGCGCACTGAAAACCACCGCGCGCGCTCCTCGCACGCTCACGCTCTGCCCCTCTTGGAGGACCAGCGTGCCGCGTGGCAGCAGGCCCGTGCCCGCACAGAATGGGCTACCGTTGGGGTCCCGAGCCACGTCCCTGCGGCCGCCATCGGGCGCCGCCCGCCGCCTCCGCACCCTCCCCCCGGGCACTTGCATGGGGGAAGGAGGCCGCGGGGGGAGGGCCGCGCCTCGGGGCAGAGCGATATTCGGGGATGGACAGACCCCCCTTTAGTAAAACGTGGTTTAGTGAAAACGGTGAAAACGACCTGAGGCCCAAACCTGGCGGGCGCAAGCCTGGAAAATAACGGCCACGGCGCCCTCTCGAGAACCGAAAACGGAGAAATCACGAATCGACGTGTCACTGTGGGGGGTTCTGTCCACCCCCGAGATATGGGGGCCCCGAGGAGGCCCGGCGGAGAGGGCCAGGACCCGAGGCGGGGAGCAGGCGGCCGGAGAGGGCCGGGGCGGAGAGGGGCAGAGAGAGAGAGAGGGAGGCTCTTGCCGTCGCTCGGGCGCCCGTTCCCCGTGCTCGTGCCGAGTTCGTGCGCGCACGGCTCGCAGAAGGGCCCCGGAGGCTCCTCGGAGGCCCTCGCCGAGGAAACGTGCGCGCGCCCGAGCGATGCCAGGAAGAAGACGGAAGCCGCTGGCGAGGAAGTCGGAGTCCCGAAACGGTGCGGCGACAGGCCGCGCGGTGACCTCGAAATCCCCCAAGACCTCACCGCACGGTCCGTCACCGCACGGTCTTGGGGCCCCGGAGGCCCCTGTCGCCCGAGACATCCTCGGAGAACGACCCGAGCCCCAAAACCGTGCGGTGACCCCGGATCCCCATCGACTCACCGCACGGTGTGGTCACCACCCCGTTTGGGGACCCCCGAGGGAAGGATCAGGGAAGCACGATGCCGGAGAGAAGGCGAGGACACAACAGAAGCACGGATGAGGAGGATGAGCAGGGACCCCGCGCGCGGCCAGCGGCCCGAGACCTCTCCGAGTCGCGGGGGCCTCCGAGAGGCTTTTGGGAGTCTCCCGGGAAGCCTCTAGGGAGTCTCTCGGGGAGCTTTGCTGTGGCCTCCACGGGGAAGCCTCGCGGACTTGAAGGCTTCCTGGAGGGCCTCAGGGGGCGTCTTGGGGATTTCTTGGAGGCCAGCTGTTGTCGTCGGTCTCTCGGGGGCCTCTCTGGGGCTCTGTTTGGGCGGCCTGGCTCCTCTTGGGGAGCCTCTCGGCTCGTGTGGGGGCCCTCCGGGAATGTTTTGGGCCCATGTTGGGGGCCCCCCTTTGGGCGCTCGTGGGCGGTCCTTGGCACCTCTTTCGTCGTCTCTGGGCCCTCTTGGGCCGTCTTGGGGCGGTGAAGGGGGCCGTCTTGGGCAGTCCTGGACGCTGTTAGGCTAGAAAACGGAAGTGCTAGAAATATGCGATTGTCATTTCGGAGCCGTGTTCGGGCCACTTGGGGGCACCCAGCACCAGTTTGGGGCCACCTTGGACTGCCTGGAGCTGTCTGGCAGCCATCTGGGACCGTCCGATGCCTTCTTCGCCCGAGGTGGACTCCGCTGGAGCTTATCTCGAGGCTCCAGGGAGGTCCGGGCCAACTCCGGGGGCGGCTTGGTGAAGCGGACTTAATACACGCCGGCGGCCCCTGGTGTGCTGCGGCCCTGGGGTTCCCCGGGTCGGGTTTCCAGTATATGAGATCTGTGTTTGGTCGCATGTATGTGTACTAATGTGTTTCTGTATGTGTGTATATACATATACATATATCGAGCGAGGGAGGGAGAGAGAAAGAGAGAGAGAGAGAGACGACATAAGTAAAGAAAAACAATGTGGGTGACGGGCAATTGCAATGCTCAAGGTAGCGATGGTGATGTACAGTGCCACGGGCTGTGCTGTGCTGTGCTGTGATGAACTGAGTCGCGCCATGCGGCGTTGAAGTGTTGTGCTCTATTGCATTGTGGATCAGGTCCTCCGTGGCGTCAAAACCCCGATCGAACTGATCTGGATCTTAAGCTCGAGTTGCCTGAACGCATAATTCCGATCTAGCCGCAATCGAAACGCGCGGGGCGCTTGACCAGCTAGAGCTCAAGATCCGGTTCAGCTCGGAAGCGGGACGAACCGAAATGGGGTGAATCTGAAGACTTCCGTGCTCTGTTGCGTCGTGGATCAAATCTTCCCTGGCGTCCGAATCCTGACATAACTGAGCTGGGCCTCAAGCTCGAGCTTCCTGAGCGCCGTGCTCGCCCAAAGCTGATTGCAATCGAGACCTTATGAAAGGATTGTGTTCCGCAGCAAGTCGAAACAAGAATGGCGAGTCCAAACCGAGGCATCGAGAAGGGGCGGGCCGAAATGCCGACAACGACAACCACAGCGGACGGCGACGAACGCGACCGCGGTTCCAGCTCGGGGCCACCATGTTAGATATGCACCTGGGTGCCCTGGACACGTGAAAACACGTGGTTCCAGCTCAGGGCCACCATGTTATATACCAAATTGAAAACATGCAAAATCAAGAGCCGAAGAAACTGTGTCCAGTTCTTACACATCTGGTGTAGATTTATTGATTCTGTCTGGCTGTTTTGGGCCGCCACGCTTGGGGCGCCCTCACGATCACATGTTAGAACCCGCCCCCCCCTCCCGGGTGGCCCGCACACGCAAAAACACGTGGTTCCACCTCCGTGCAACCATGTTGGATACCTCTCTGGTTGGCCTGGGGACGTGTAAGCATGTATTTCCAGCTCGGCCCCCCCAAAAAATCTGCAAAGTAACCAGCAGAAGAAACTGTGGCAAATTTTTACACATCTGGTGTCGATGTATTGATTTTGTCTGGCTCTTGTGGGCCCCAAGCTGGGGGCTCCCAGACGACCACATGTGAGATATCCCCCCGAAGGTTGCCCACACACGTAAAAACATGTGGTTCCACCTCGGGGCAATCATGTAAGGTGCCCCTCTGGGTGGCCTTGAATGAAAGACACATGGTGCAAGCTCGGGGCCACCATGTTAGATACCGCACTGGGTGGCCTGGACGCGTAAAAACACATGGTTCAAGCTCGGGACCACCATCTTAGATCCCCCCTGGGTGGCCTGGATACGTGAAAACATGTGGTTCCCTTTGGGGACAGCCATCTTCGATACCTCCCTGGGCGACCGGGGCACGTGAAAACAAGAATTTCGCCTGCGAGATCCTCGGAATTCTGGCCTCCAGGATGAGGACAATCTATATGACAAAACACGCGTTTCGCTCGAGACACCCTCAACAAGTTCTGCAAACGACGCGTTTCGCTCGAGACATCCGCAACCAGCGAAAATGTTCACCTTACCCTATCTTTTATAGGTCTGAATTTCGAACACCCGCGTTTCGCTCGGGACATCCTCAACATTTAATCCGCCAGCCCTTTTCGACTTCACTAGTCATCACACATGAATCCACCGACCCTTGTCGAACTTGGCACCAGGGACAGGCCCTCCACACTACAAGAGAACCCTGGGCCCAAGCCCTTTCCAGGAACAAATGAAAGACAGAGAGAGAGAGAGAGAGAGAGTGAGGGATGTATTCTTCATCGTGCCCCCTGGCACGCTGAGGCATGGTATAATCCTACTGGTTGTCTGGTAGGGCTTGGGAAATATTTCAAGGCCCCCTCTCACCACACTCCCTCGCATGCATCGCCCCTCTCGTCCCTCGATGCAAAACCATGAGTCCGCGCTCCTGGGGCCGCGCTCCCTCGTGAAAGAACGGTGGATCTGTGCTGACGAGGCCACGACTCATCGTACCAGCACGGATCCGCTCTGCCGCGGCCACGAGCCCTTGTAAAAGAAGACGCTCGCGCTTCCGAGGCCACGATCCCTCGCGACGGGCATGGATCCAGGCTCCCGAGCTCCCGAGCTCCCAGGACGGCCGATGCAGATGACTAGGGCAGCCACGATGGCCCAGGAAGCGTCCGAGACGGCCCCCAATGGCCCCAAGGCGGCCCAAAGGAGCCAGCATCATAGATTGTCGCACGGCTGGGGGACATGGGGGCGTCGTCACCTTGCCGGGCTTCCTTCGACTCCAGACGGCCATACAGGCCTCCAAGGTGGCCCCAGGACGGCCCCAGGAGGGCCCCAACGTGGTCCAACAATCCCCCTGGTAAGCTTCGCTTTGGGTCTGGTCGAGGCCTGGTGCGATTTCTTCAAGAGTTTGTGTCCAGCCTTACTGGCGATCCCAAGAGAGGCCCCAGGAGGCTCCCCGAGGGAGGCTCCCAGGACTGCAGGAGGAGGAGGAGGAGGAGGAGGAGGAGGAGGAGGAGGAGGAGGAGGACAGGAGGAGGAGGAGAAGGAAGAGAGGAGGAGGAGAGGAGGAGGAGGAGAGGAGGAGAGGAGGAGGAGGAGGAGGACAGGAGGAGGAGGAGAAGGAGCACAGGAAGCCCCCTTCGACGGCACAGGCCCGGAGAGCGCCCGCTGCTGACCGACCGCGGCCTCCCGGAGCCAGGCCGGCCTTGGAGAGGGCCCCTCGCCGGCCCAGGTCGGCCCCAGCACGGCCCCGCGGCGGCCGCAAGAGGCCCCCCCCAGACAGCCACGACGGCCGCAAGGCTGCCCCAGAGGAGCCCAAGGCATCCCCAAGATGGCCCAACGGGGCTCGGCGATTGCCACTCGAAAGAGGTGAAGACGAACGGCGTCACATGTGACGCCCGTCCTCTTCCTCCACCATTCTCATCGTCATCGCCACCGCCACCACCACCACCACCACCACCACCACCATCATCATCATCATCATCATCATCATCATCATCATCATCATCACCACCACCACCACCACCACCACCACCATCATCATCATCATCATCATCATCATCATCATCATCATCATCATCGTCGTCGTCGTCGTCGTCATCATCATCATCATCATCATCATCATCATCGTCATCGTCATCGTCATCGTCATCATCATCATCATCACCACCACCTCCACCATCACCATCACCATCACCACCATCACCATCACCATCCACCACGATCATCATCGTCATCACCATCATCTTCCGCCTGCTCATCACCATCACCGCGATCATAATCGCTATCAAGACCATCATGTGGTTCACCCCTCTCGTACGCCGCAATCCGGCTCCTCGTTTTCTAATGCTCTTCATGGCCTGTCTCTCTCTCTCTCTTCTCTTCCCCGTCTTTTTCATCATACTCATTACCACGACACTTTCCAACACAAACCCGGCGCGGGACAGCATGATAAATGTTCTGCTTCTTCCAAGCCTGGAAACATGAGGTGTCATGCGTTACGGGTTGCTGTCAATTCCAACCCAATGTGCTGGGCTGGCACGGTGGCAGAACTTGCCGCAGGAGGCTGGACATAACCTGGATGCGTAAACATAAATGACAGATTTAGGAATCTAAGACGCTTGCGCGATTGTGGGCGCGAGCGGGGAAAAGAGCACGCCAGAGAGAAGTCAAAACACACATACGTAGAGAGAGAGAGAGAAAGAGAGAGAAAGAGAGAGAGAGAGAGAGAGAGAAAGAGAGAACAGGCGGAACAAAGATAGCGGGAGAGAGAGAGAGAGAGACAACGAGAAAGAGAGACAGAGAGAGAGCGGCAGAGAGAAGGGAGAGGGAAAGGAAGCGGGGAGAAGAGAGAGAGAGAGAGAGAGATAGCGAGAGAGAGAGAGAGAGAAAGGGCAACAGAGCGAGGGAATGGAAGTGGAACATCAACGGAAGAGACCGGGAGGGCGGTAAGGGCGAGAGACGGGGACGGGAATCAGAGGAATGAGGAGCAGGGGGGCGGGAAGAGGCGATGTTTTCACCAGCAGGGAAGAAAGAGAGAGAGAGAGAGAGGTAGAGCGAGAGAGAGAGGACAAGGGATCCCAACCCGTTTGTTTCAGTTGGTACAGTACTTGTCCTTCTGCGTCCCAATTCGTGACGCTCGTGTTGTCGGTGTCGGCCTGGGCGAAGAACTTCTGAGTTCAAGCTTGTCGTACACCCATTCCAGAAGAATGATATGTCAAGGCAAGCCAGCGATCCTAACATTTCCCACATGCCTTGGCACTCGGTTTCCAAGACATATCAGCCGGTCCCCTTGTGGGGCCATCAGGCTGCGAGGCTTAAGCTTGCTGCTCCCTGCTCCAATTCAAATTTCCAATGGTCATTGTGATAGTTCTACGTTCTGCTTCCTTTTGTAACTGGTTGAAGTTCGCGCGAGGGGGAAGCCCCAAAGGACCAAAGGACCTGGTTACCACGCCCGGATCGCGCTCTCAGGTAAAACTACATGGGATTCGCGCCCCCTAGGCCATAATCCTTGGTACATTGCGCAATCTTCGCTTCCACGAGGCTACAAGCCCTCGTCAATTACACACATGTTGTCCCTGAGGTTACACACCCTCGTAAAGTACACGATATTCGCATTTCCGAGGCAACAAACCCTAGTAAATTATACGTGGCACCCCGCAGATGCGGATAAGAGTGAGGGGGCAGTGGGGACGTCGACAGTTTGCCAGACTCCAGAGAAGCCCGCCGCAGGCGCCAAACTTTTATAAGTTATGCAACGAGCCCGCCGCAAGCGCCGATTTTTTCGTTAAACCAATGTGTGTAGGTGGCGGGTGGGTCGCTGTTGGATCGCGGGTGTAGAGAGCAGAAAATCCACCCCATAATAATCACCCCGACAAGCGAAGCCGTTTAGTAAACGCACACAAGGAATGAATCGATTAGGGCAGGGCTGTTTAGCCAACGCCGCCTAGGGCCGTTTAGTAAACGTCAATTGTCGGGTCCGGGTGGTCTTTCTTCCCTTGAGGTTGGGTCGCGTGGTGGGTCGCGGTTGGGTCGCGTGGTGGGTCGCGGGTGGGTCGCGGGGTGGATCGCGGGTGGGTCGCGGGGTGCGTCGCGGGTGGGTCGCGGGGTGGGTCGCGGGGTGGGTCGCGGGGTGGGCGGAGTCGCGGGTGGTCGCGGGTGAGGTCGCGGGGTGGGTCGCGGGGGGTCGCGGGGTGGGTCGCGGGTGGGTCGCGGGAAGGGTCGCGGGTGGGTCGCGGATGGGTCGCGGGGTGGGTCGCGGGGTGGGTCGCGGGGTGGGTCGCAGGGTGGGTTGCGGGTGGGTCGCGGGTGGGTCGCGGGATGGGTCGCGGGGTGGGTCGCGGGTTGGGTCGCGGGGTGGGTCGCGGGGTGGGTCGCGGGTTGGGTCGCGGGGTGGGTCGAGGGGTGGGTCGCGGGTGGGTCGCGGGTGGGACGACGACGACAACAACAAGAACAACAACAACAGTAATTACTAGCACGTGGGGACACACCGTTCTCACCAGTGCCAGGGTTTTCATAGGAGGCGGGCAATACCCCCCCTTTGTGGGGGGGCCGGTTCAAGCTCTACCAAATTTCCAAACGACTCTTCGCCACCACCCACACCCAGCTTCCCGCCCTATGACGTTCGGACACTTCACTTCGTGGCATGCGGACGACCGTGGCTACTATTCAGGGCCCCGCGGCCGACGACGACGGCGTGCGCGCGCGAAGAAAAAACGAATGTGTCCCGCATGGTATTATTTGACAGGGATGATGGCCCTGGCAGGTGCGCAACCGTTGTTGCAGAAGTTCGAAAAAGTTGCTCGCAAAAACCCGTTTGCCAGCAAAGAGTAAAAAGTGTTGGGTTTCCTACGAATCCGCAAGAGCGCGCGGGATGAACTTTTGATATATATATTTTTTGTGAAAAAACATTGTTTTTTTATGTTTTTATGTTAAAATCGCTACGAAAACTAAGGTTTTGGAAGGATTTCGTCTTGCGCGCGCGAATGTCCACTCTACCTTATCTGTTGCAAGGGATTCTTGAAGTTTGGTTATGTTAGAACAAGAAATGTCAACTTTAGCTTATTTTTTGCAAGGGAAAACCGATCGTAACAACACAACCGGATCTGGTACACATCGTTTTGCCTGAGACTTTCTCACGAAAATGATGAAAATGAGGCTGCGGCCTAGGCGCGGCGGGGGGGCCGCGCACCAGGGGTCCCAACAATAATTATTCTTAAGAAGAAATAATGTTCAACAACAGCCGCAGCAACAGCAGCAGCAACAACAGCAACAATCACAACACAACAACAAGACCAACAACAACAACATGAGCAACAACAACAACAACAGCAGCAGCAGCAACAGCAGCAACAACAACAACAACACCAACACCAACACCACCACCAACAACAGCAAAAACAACAACACCACCAACAATAACAATAACAACAACATCAACAACAACAGCAGCAGCAACAACAACAATCATTTGAATACTGTTCGCCCTTATCTGCTCGTCTGTCCAATAACGCGTATTTCCTAAACCCTCCGGCCTCTTCGTCTTCGATCGAACCCCTTTTGGGGGGTATACCTTTCTTCCCTGCAGGCCGGGCCCCGGCAAGCGACGAGGCGGCCGCGGACCGTCGGCCTGGCCAGCGGCAGCGCTGATCGGCGGGGCGGCCGCGGACCGTCGACCCGACCCCAAGAGGGACGGACAGGGGACCGACCACGACGACGACGACGACGTCGACGACGACGCGACGACGACGACGACGGCGACGACGACGACGCGAAAGCGAGAGCGAGAGAGAACGACAGCAGGGCCACGAAGGACACGAAGTAGGCCACGAAGGGCGACAGCGGGGACACGAAGGGAATGCGTATGGGGCCACGAAGAGCGCGAACGAGCGGGGGCCACGAAGGGCAGATAATGCGGGGCCGCAGAAAGCAACGATGGGGCCACTGAGGGTAGCAACTGGGCCACGTAGGACAGTGAGGGGGCCACAGACGTCGACAGCGGGGCCACGAAGGGCATGCACATGGGGCCACAATGGGCGCGAACGAGCGGGGGCCACGAAGGGCATACGTATGTCGGGCCGCGGAGGGCAAGGACGGGGCCACTGAGGGCAGCAACGGGGCCACGAAGGGCAGCGAGGGGGCCACGAAGGGCGACAGAGGGGCCACGAAGGGCATGCATATGGGGCCACTACGGGCGCGGACGAGCAGGGGCCACGAAGGGCATACATATATGGGGCCACGAAGGGCAGAGAGGGGGCCACGAAGGGCTGCAACGGGGCCACGAAGGGGACCGAGGGGGCCAAGAAGAGCTGCAACGGGGCCACGAAGGGCTGCAACGGGGCCACGAAGGGCAGCGAGGGGGGGCCACGAAGGGCTGCAACGGGGCCACGAAACAACGCGAGAGGGCCGCGAAGGGCTGCAACGGGGCCACGAAACAAAGAGAAGGGGCCACGAGGGGCTGCAACGGGGCCACGAAACAAAGCGAGTGGGCCACGAAGGGCTGCAACGGGGCCACGAAACAAAGCGAAGGGGCCACGAAGGGCTGCAACGGGGCCACGAAGGGCAGCGAGATCCCGATTCCTAGGTAATCTGTGAAGGAGTCCTAAGCGTGAGCGCGACTCGTGGGTGCCTGGGTGTTGGGAGCGCGGCGCTCGAGCAAATTGCAGGAAATTCCAACGCAAGAGCGCTATTCGTCAGTAAATTGCAAGCAAGTCTCCAGCGAGAGCGCGACTCCAGAGCGCCGGAAGAGCGACTCCTGAATCAAGTGTAAGGAATTCCCAAGCGAGAGCGCGAGCCCTGAATAAAATGCGAGGAAGTCTCGGGCGGGAGCGGGGGTCCTGGCTAAATTATGAGGAAGTCTCAGGCGGGAGCCGTTGTTGTTGAACATTATTACTTCTAAAGAATAATTATTGTTGGGGCCCCTGGTGCACGGCCCCCTCGCCGCGCCTAGGCCGCAGCCATGTTTTCATCATTTTCGTGAGGAAGTCTCCGGCAAAACGGGTTGGTCCGGATCCGGTTGTTTTGTTACGGGCGGTTTTCCCTTGCAAAGAACAAAGCAAAGTGGACATTTCTTGTTCTAACATAACCAAACTTCAAGAATCCCTTGCAACAAATAAGGTAAAGTGGACATTCGCGCGCGCAACACGAAATCCTTCCAAAACCTTAGTGTTCGTAGCGATTTTAACATAAAAACATCAAAAAACCATTTTTTTTGTTTTAAAGTGTCAAAATTTCATCCCGCGCGCTCTTGCGGATTTGTAGGAAACCCAACACTTTTCTCCCTGCAAATGTTACCACAACAAGTCACTGTACCCATGCGCCAGTGTAGTAGCCACGGTCGTCCGCAGGCCACGAAGTGAAGTGTCCGAACGTCATAGGGCGGGAAGCTGGGTGTGGGTGGTGGCGAAGAGTCGTTTGGAAATGTGGTAGAGCTTGAACCGGCCCCCCCACAAAGTGGGGGTATTGGCGGGCGTCGTATGAAAACCCTGGCACTGGTGAGAACGGAGTGTCCCCACGTGCTAGTAATTGTTGTTGTTGTTGTTGTTGTTGCTGTTGTTGTTGTTGTAACCCGGGGGCCAAGGGCATAGTTTGAGCATCAAGACTTTCCCTGTCAAAAAACAGGGTGCGAGCGTCGAGGGGCACACTTTGACTAAGAAAAAACAATCTGCACCGGTGGGGGGATCAACCATTTTTTTCAGAAATGAAAACTCAACAACATCAACACCAGCACCAACAACAACAACTACAACAACAATAACAATACCAATCACAATAATAACAACACCAACAACAATAACAGCAACAGCAGCAGCAACAGCAACAGGAACAGCAACAGCAACAACAACAACAACGACGCAACAAGCAGAATTCTCACCACGAAATCCCTATTCAGCCACGTACGCAAGAACAATGAATGACCGTTCGGCCCCCTCACTCTGACAATATTCGCTTCCGCGAAGCCATAACCTTCGCAAATTGCGCTGTATTCGCATTGCCGAGGCCAAGATTGCTCCAAGGCGCCCGAAGATGGCACCAAGACGGCCAAAGAGGGCCCAAAGAGGCCCCAAGAGCGCTCCAAGAGGCCTCCAGAGAGAGCCCCAAGAGGCCAACATCGTGGATGTGACTAAGGTTTTTGGAAGGTGTTGGCCTTCTCGCATGT